CAGATTCCAAGGCTTTCACAGATGCAGGGAATCTTCTGATCTGATTCAGTAGCCCTGTGAAAGAATTCGGTGCACGCAGCAACTCTGAACACGGATGATCAAAAGATGAGTCCAAACGCTGCTCATTGCTATAGCAATGTTTCAACATTCTACATGCCATTGGCGTTGCTCCGAGCCGTGTGTGAGAGAGTGATGCTCTATATTTGTGGATTTACTGGGTGCGGCAGTATCAAGCTGTTAGAATGCTGGGATGCTGTTGGGGACTTCCACTTGGCCTGGATCTGAGTTGCGACACCCTAAGCCCTAAGCACACAAGTCACCAAGCGTTGCATTTGAATTGTTGGAGTTTGCGCCTGATACGCAGCCCCAGTGACCCATTTGTATATACTTGCCCGAGAAACCTTGTCAATAACATACGGGAACAGTGACATATGTTTTTTCAGATACTGTTGCCAGACAAGATTACCTTAGTGCAGATTTTTGAGCCCAAATTGGCAGGACAGAGTAACATCATTTAGCTTCTTCCCTTTCCAACCCTATTGTCACCTTTTGCTCTTAATCAGGTGTCGGTGTCAGGGAGCATTTGGTTCCCCTGTGTCTAGATATAGAGTTGTTGCAGGGGGCCGAGCGCCCGGCGCTCTGAGCGGATATGCAGGTGTGGTCGAGCAATGAATCCTTTGATCTTGTGACCGATGTAAATAAATAAGTACAAAAGAGTAGCAACAAAAGGGAGGCAAAGGCACCGACCCACCGTTTTTGTGTTTAACATATTGCTTATTTTTTCGTTAATACATACACACACACACACATATATATATATATAATATATATATATATAAAAGTCCCGATAGCTTCTTTCTTTCAGCAGGTGACCCTTACCCAGCCTGTGGCTGTTGATGAAGTGGATGCAGAGATCGTCGTTGTTGAAGGCGCATAGTTGTCTTCCACATTCTCTTTCCTCTTCTGAGCATCCGACTTCATGAAGTAAGTGTGGCATCGGCAGTGCATTATGGTACGACCATGTATGGGATCATCTCGTGCTTGCTCGTTACTCGTTTCTGATGGTGAACATCTATATCCAATTCCGAGAATCAGTTCTTCTCGCTTCTATGACTCTTCAGAGACCAACGTGTTCACTATGATCATTTATTTGTTCTCGCTGACTTTGCTGCAAGGCTGTGCCTTGGGTTTCGTGGCACCGGGCCAACCGCCCCATGTGCTACACGTTGATCCTGGGCAGCCGGTGGGGTTCTGCTTTCAGCTCATGACAGACTGTGTGCACGACGTTCAATTGTCACAGAGCCCGCTTTGCAGATTTTGCAGGCCAAACATGGTGTTCAGAGCGACGACCTTCTCCTGAGCATTGATGGTGCAGTGCTCAGAGATGCATGGGAGCTTCAGAGATGCATTGGAACCTCAGCGATGCCACAAAGCAGGACAGGTTTCTCGGATCGCATTCCAATTCACGCTGTAATTTCACGTATCTCTTGTTTATTCAACTTGGGGAGCTCGTAGAAATCGTAGAGAGGATGGATCTCAGTTTCGAGGTCAGCTGACTGCGCAGTTGAGCCAAGAGAAGGTGGCCGAGTTGCTACGGGTATTGCTGGCTAGACTTGAAACGACAAAGTATATCTTATATATAATATTTATATAACTGATTCTAGAAACTAATTCAAGAAACCTGTTAATTATGAATCTAACTGCCACTTGGAGAGTTTTCTTATGTTCTTGGAGCCCTTGATTTGTGCGAATGGAGCATATGTGCCTGTTCTGAAGCAGCTGTAGTTGGACTGAGACTGATATACAATGTTTTTCACATCCATCTCACAAAGGAATTTTGTCTGTGGCTCAGTCGCCTTCAACTGCAAACGTCTCAATGCTCTGCCAGTCTGCAAAGATCCTGGTCTTCGAGCGACCGCAGGGAGCAGCGGACGGCGAGGACAACTGTTGTTTTCTAAAGCTGGTTGAGTCAAATATTTTCGGTGGTGATTTGGCAATGGCGTTTCTAATTTTGATGCATAGTTTGCGATTGGTTGAGCACTACTTGAGCTGGCTGATCCATACATACTCGAGTTGTCAAAACGAGTTCTTCCGGAAGGACACAGAGCCACCGAGCGACGAGGATCCAGCTGTCATGATGTTTTGGACAACACTAGAGAATTGTGTATGTGTTTTTGTTAAAGCCCGCTCCGCCCCTCTCCCTACTTAGGTAAGGAACTGAGGTAGCTACTACCTGCAAGTAAGCTACTAACTACTGGACGCAGGATAGCTCACGCTTCTTAAAGGAAGCTCCCCCCTAAGCTTCCTTGAAGAAGCGCTCGCACTAATGATTTGGTTTCTAGATTTCAAGGGAAATTAACTCTGGTGATGGCAAGAATCATAGTTGCTTTGCATCGCAGATGCATGGCTTGCTAGGCTGCTAGCCTAGGACAAGCCTAGGATCTATGTATTTGCTAACTGCAAAGTGCAAACATTTGCGAGCCTGAATCAAGTCTGGCATGATCTGAAGGAGAAAAAGAAAGCCGCTGATGGACAGCCGGTTCAGGTTAGGAGTTCATTCATGGAATAAGAAGAGAAAACACATTTTCATGTCTTCAGCGATTCCTCGAAAGAAGGATTACTCTTATGTTTCGCTACTTCGTGCAGGCTGGAAAGGAGAGAAGTCGATCGCGAAGGCCATATTTGTCTTTTTGATGTTTCAGCGGGTTTTCCCACACCAACTTCAAAGTTGATGTTTATCAAGGCCAATCTTTCCTGTTTGAAGAAAGAGGAACAGGATCATCCTTCCGAAAAAGGTCTACTTATCATGCCCTTTGTGACTTTAGCAGTCCAACGCGTGCCTTTGTCCTGAGGCTTACATACTGTATCTTTGGGCATATGTAGTGAGTCAACCCTGTGGAGGGCCTTTATCAGCCAAAAAACTTCCGACCCCTCTACCCAGCCACTCTTGATACCACACTGTAACGTACCATGGTCGAGGGGTCGAAGACATCGGGAATCAAAGCATGAAGACAAACAGTCCTGGCCTTACAGCTTCGACGAGGTTACCTCCTTTACCTTTACCCTTGATTCATCTTGATTCCTCAATATTATTATTTGGCTTTGCAGACTGTCTTTGTGTTCACGTGCAAAGGTCTGGTGCAGAGGCGTCCCGACACCATCCGCTGTGGCCTTGATGTGTTCAGGGAATTATGACATTACATAGACAAACTAGGAAGAACACAAGATTTGAATGCCCACTTGTTTGTGTCCCATTTGCATCGAACCATACCATGAGACATGATGCGACTTGCATAAATACTTTGCTTTGCTTTTGTTACTCTTTATTTGTCAAGAAGCGGCTAGAAAAGCCAATGCTCACTTTTCCGAATGCTTTTGTGGGCTTGCCGGCTTTGCAAAGAATCACAAAGAGACAGGCTTACAACAATCTAGGTTATGAGATCTCATCATGGCATTGCTTGCTCAAATTTTTGTTGTGGATCGTTGGTTTATACCTAGGAAACAGCAGAATCAGCTTTGCCTTTTCCGAAACAGACAGAAAAAGAGGACTAGAACAGCTACTGTAAGAGAACAACAATATGCGTTTATAGTACAATAGTATAGTTGCCAGCTTCTTCACAATCGAGGTCACTCGAGCCAACAAAAAACTCAGGTCACATAAGGTTCGTTCATCGAGACACACAACCTTTTCATTTCTTGATACATTTGGTGCCGCAAGATGTGAAGCATCAGAGTAACAAGAAGCTACTAGGGGCTCCTGGCATCGCTACTACGACCAATGATGCTATTAGGGGCTCCTGGCCTTACTACTAGGAGCAATGTTCGCTACTAGTAACAAGAAGCAGCATTAAATTGAGAGTCCCATGGCGCCATGTGTGGCTTGGCCTTCTGGCTGCGGTTCAAGTCGAAGATTGACTGGAAGGATGCAGCGAGCATTTTCCCAGAGGCAAGGACTTTTGCAAAACGGTAAAACCAAGCTGGCAAAACAGCTTCACTCAACAAAACCTTGTCCTTGAGATTGCAGCGGTTGCCAATTCCACGTATAGTTTATAGCTCCTAACACGTTCCTCGATTCAAGCATCCACCCGTTTCTGACATTCTGCTTTCATTTGTTCCTTCTTCAATTCTTCATCAGCGATTGTAGCAGGCCTTGGCAGAAGAGGATGCCTTTGAAGCAGCTGTGGCGGTGCTGCCACGGAGAGGACCCGATGCCCAAGGTACCCTGACGAACAAATCCCAAAGTTCAACCTTCTGCTTTCCAGAAGTACGACATTTGCTTGATGTTCAATGGTTTTCTACAGATGTTGATACAGAAGATGGATTGACAATGCTGAAGTTGATACTCAGAGGTACAGAAGTTGTTGATCTGCCAGATGCACACCTGGAGCTGCAGGCCTGTGTGCCTTGGCCAAAGCTTGTAGAGAATTGTTCTTGTTACTAGTAGCTTCTTGTTACTAGTAGCGATGGCCTCCAACCTAGTTGCGATGGCCTCCACCTAATAGCCTCCTAATACTCCTTTGAGTCTTGAAGGCATCAGCTAGACCCAGGTACTGCACTTGCGTGGCGAGGCGGTGACGGCGCAGCCTTGTCCTGTTCACGAGGACGCTTGCACGAATTTCTTTCGTGCAATGTGACAGGTTTCTACAAACGTACATTGATGGTCGAAAGTGCTCCAGGGTGGTCAACTCCTCTTCAACGGAGAGATCTATGAGAGCTCCAGAGGAGGCTGCAGCGCTGCTTTGACGGGGGACATTGGTCAGGAGCAAGTAGGACAAACCCAATGGCATCAGTATTATTCGGTGTTTCCTGCAGGCAGTGACAGCTTGGACTTGTCCAGCAGCGACACATGCTGGCTTGCTCGACAATTGGCAAATTGCGAGGTCATAAGGCAGCGGCAGCGGCAGGGTCAATAAATTGGCGCCAGCTCTGACTCTGTGTAAGTAAATATTTTAAAGGAAAGATTCGAAAAGATATCATTATTTTTAGATTCTAATTCTAATCGTTACAAAATTGAGAGCAGACTCGCTGCATTTTGTTTATATAAGGTGGCGAGTCGGCTTGTTTGCTGTATACAGCGCACCTCATTTTTGACTCTTGTTGTTGTGAGGCCGCATTGTTGTATGCCCATGCGAACCCTTGATAAAGCTAACCTTGAGCCCCTGAATTTCCTCACAACTACAAATGGAATTCGTTTTCAACAATGTGGCCTTGTTGAAAGGCCATCCCCACGGCCCACACGTTTTCAGCATGAATGTAGATCAGCCATGATCAGCCACATGTTCAAACGTCGAATACTATTGCTGCGACAAAGGAGAAGAACTCAAGTTGACCAGTTGACCAAGGCCTCCCCCTTTTTTCTTTGTCAGTACCTGTTGCCCAGTGATGGCGCTGACAAGCTGACACTGGCTTTGCGTGACCTGCTGGAGACCTTGCATGGCCCCTTTGCAATGGCATTTTGGAGTCCCAAGTGTCACGCGCTCCTTGTATGCAGGTGTTGTCAAGCATGCTGGTAAGCAATGGGTAGTCAGTAGTCGATGGCATTTGACTCAAATGACAAATGACATACCGTGTAATGACATACGACTGCATCCGTAAGTTGATATGCTTGGGGTCCTGTCGACCTGTGCTCAGATTCGGCTGGAGGTTGTTTGTTGCCCGAGACCGGTTGGGACGCCGTTCTCTCCTTGCCGCCAGAACAGCTTCTGGTGTGGGAGTGGCCTCAGTTGGGTCGAGCGTCTCATGGCAGGAGTTTCCTGACCAAAACAGTGCATGATTTGCATTTGTTAGCCTTTTCTTTCGTTTGGATGCATCTGTTTTCGTAACAGATTGTGTTTGATCCAAGGCTACCTGTCACAGGCGTTTTTGTTTTTGATTTGGTGGCCCGCTCTGTGCGACAGCTGCCCTGGCGCCAGCCAGCGCCCTTCGCACAGCCCTGGTGCGGATGCCCAATGAGTTATGCAACCCTGCGCCAAATCCTCAGGATCAGTGACACATCAGTGACTACGTGTCAAATCCCCATTCGCTTGAGGTGGTGGTCAACGGACAACGCCTGCGACGAGGCCAACCTGCGGCTGGCCTTTGGCCGGTTGCTGTCGGAGGCAGTAGCAAGACGAGTGGAGCATGTGGCAGGTGGGGCCGCAGAGTGCCATGCTATTCTTAGAGATGCAAGGAAAATGCAAAACAACAAAAATGTGCTAGTAGGTTGGTACATTTTGTTATATGTATATATATATATGTGGCTCAAGCTCTCGGCTCAAGAGACAGGAGGCTCAAGCCGGATTGTGGTCTGGCACATCGAGCACGTCTCTGAATCCGAGAGGGGTGGCAAGGCAGAGCTCGCTTAGTGCCGAACGCCTTCTACCTGGAGGACATGGAATGGTCTATGCAGCGGGCATATCAAATGTGCACCCACACCGGTTCCACAACTGGATATGGTGCGACAAGGTCCAGCAAGGCTTCACCTGCCGACGATGCGGAACTGAATGGCAACGACCTCAGCAAGGCTTTGCTTTGAAAACGCCACAAGCCAAGACAGCTTCACGCTGGCAACGGCCCAGGTACGACAGGCCTGCTCCGCCCCCAGAGTTGGGCAGGCAAAGATCTCCAAAGCCATCCAGGCTTCAAAAGTCTGCTTCCGAGATCTTGGCACCAGCATGGGGGTCCTTGGATGAACAACTTCGAGCCAAACTCACCGAGTCTGGGCATTGCACCGGAGGTCAAGCCTGTGGAGCCTGACCTGAAAGATGTCCTTCGAGAGAACTTGTCCAAGCTTCCCACACCTGTCCGCGAGTTAGTCGAAAAGATCACGACACCTCCTCCTGAATCTGAACGTGAAGCAGGACGCTTGAAGCAGCAGGTCACGGCCCTGAAGGACCTCTCTCAGCGGAAACATGCCCTTCAACGCCGCATTGATGCCACCAAGCGTTCCTTTCAAGAGCTTTTGGAAGAGATGAAGTCCATCCAATCAAAGATTGAACAGGAACAAGCTGCCTTGAATCAGACCAGTGCATCCTACATGTCCATGGTGACCGCAGCTGTGCCGGCTGCATCGTTGCAGCCTGACGTCACAAGGCTGACCCTGTCCCGGGGGTCATCAGCGCCCTTGCTGTAAGTCTCACACCAGTGCAGAAGGATCAGCTTCAGGTCATGCTAAAGAGACCGCAGCAGGGCACCACAGAGGATGCCAAACGACGCAAGACTGACGTGGTTGAGAATTCCACGTCTTGTGGGTAACCATGTTTGCTCCTCCTTATAGGAGGCACTCAGACTGGCAATGGCTTTGTTCAGGGGTTTTGCAACCATGATCAGACTCTTGATCGAATTGCTGGGGGTTTCAGTCAAGTGGATTGTGGGGATCAGTGCAGTCAGATTGACGACTTTCCTCTTGACCCAAGCGAGAGCCATTGCGTTCCCGTTTCTCCGGGCTATGGTCCTTGGAGGAAAACGCTCGGCCCCAAAGTCAAAGGGGGCTCAATTTTGACACCAGCAGCGCAGGGAGCGGAGGCGCCGAGCTCCTCTACCTCAGAGCAGGTCTCTTGTGACGCTGCTTCCTTCAGGACCTCCCACTCCCAAGCGCTGGCCCGTCTCTTCATGGAGATTGTTGGAGTTGACGAATCGAGCCATCCTTGTGTTTTAGGACGACAACCTGGCGCGGGTTAAGCCGCCCACAGCGCACACACCTATGCAGAAAAGAGATCCCCGAGGCCCTGCTCGGGATTCCGAAGCTGCCCTAGAGGATCACCACCGGGTGGTTCCGGCCTAGAATAACTTCGTTTAGCTTGCGCTTTGCAGAGGCTCTCGCGGATCTGTGCGCATTGTTTGAGTCGGGCTTCATCCACTCCAGCTGGACCCCATCCCAACCGATTTGTCAAGGGGCACCGACTTGCCGGAAGACGGCGCAACTCTGCCCAATGGCTGCATTCCCAAAGCACATGACGAATCGAGCCACCTCACTGAGGCTCAAAGACAGCTTTTCGAGGTCAGTCAACAAGATCTCATGAATTCGTGCTCGGCTTACGCCTTCAGCCTTCCAAAGATCATGGGCAACAGCCTCTCACAGATTTGCAGCGGGTTGAACAACTGGTCCACAAGCACCTTGGCTTGCACGGTGACCAACCTCACATCCAAGGCAACTCCGCCTTGATAGCTCAGAACCTCACGAGCATAGCTTGCAACCCAAACAATTTGTGCTTCAGCAATGCTGCCTTCCATTGCTGGAGTTGGCTCAGTAGTTTTGTAACGGAACCCACCATGATTTGGGAAGACTTCATAGAGCTTTCAGGACCTTTTTGACCTCCTCCCGCGCGTGCGTGTGAGTGTGAGTGCGAGTGTGAGTGAGAGTGAGAGCGAGTGAGAGTCTGCGAGTGGGAGAGTGACTGGGCGTGAGTGTGAGGAGTGTGAGTGTGAGTGGGAGGGAGTGAGTGTGAGTGGGAGCGGGTGTGGACTAGAATGAGTGTAAGTGAGAGTGAGTGAGTGTGAGCGAGTGTGAGTGGGAGAGTGAGTGTGAGTGCGAGTGTGAGTGAGAGTGAGAGTGGGAAGTGGGAGAGTGAGAGTGGGAGAGTCAGAGAGTGAGCATCTAAAAGCACAAAGTACTGCGTCTGCTACGAAGTCTGAACTTCGAGGTGTACCAGGCGCTGTGCCTGCCACGAAATCTGCACTTCGAGGTTCATCAAGTGCTGTGCCTGCCACGAAATCTGCACTTGGAGGTTCACAAAGTGCTGCGCCTGCAACGAAATCTGCACTTCGAGGCTCACCAAGTGCTGCGCCTGCCACGAAATTTGCACTTCGAGGTTCACCAAGTGATGTGCCTGCCACGAAACCTGCACTTCCAGGTCCACCAAGTGCTGTGCCTGCCACGAAATCTGCACTTCGAGCTTCACAAAGTGCTGCGCCTGCCACGAAATCTGCACTTCGAGGTTCACAAGGTGCTGTACCTGTCACGAAATCTGCGCTTCAAGGTTCGCCAAGTGCTGCGCCTGCCACGAAATCTGCGCGTCGAGGTTCACCAAGCGCTACGCTTGCGAGGTTTCCCTTGCGCCTGCCACGAAAAGTAGCCGCCGCGTACGAAAATGTGCACGGCGCCGCAACGAGAGCGCAGTCGTTAGAAGCACCCGCCGCGGACACCCAGATTCAGCGAGCCTGCGCAGTCGAAGTGCGCATGGACGACGTCGAGGGTCATGAATGTACTGTAAATAGCAACGAATTAGCCGTTCACGGCCGCGCGCCTCAGCGATCTAAGCATCAGCTTCCTTTCCCCTACCGTAAGAACCCCTCAGTGTGCCCACACTGTTTGGGGAAAAAACCATTTTGGGGAAGTCTTGGGAAGGAGGGGGCCCAGCAAACTACAATTAAAGGACCGGATAACCCCACATATGAATCTTTACGAATCTTAGGTTTCCAAAGCACAAAGCAGTCAGAATCTCAATAGCTTCTACAACACGGTCTTGTCAGGAAGTGATATCAGCTTCCGACAACAGAGGGGTGCGTCCCTTGCTACCAAGACTTCTTCAATACCATACCTGTCCAGTAGATCTCTGAAGTCACCTCTCAATGAGCCGTCCTGATCGACTTGCACTTTGTCAGGGCTTCCGAAGACTTCTAACCAATCCATCATCGATTTTCTGCGTTGAGAGGATTGAGGCTTCTTGGGTCTGCCAGGACCTTCACCTGAGCACAGGTAGGATGCGAGGGTATAGGATGTGGCCACATCCACCATCATCAAAAGGAATGCGTCGCGTCTTCTTGGTCAGGTATGTGTGCAATATCCATGGCCACACATTGATTGAAGCTGTTGTATTTTGGCGCCGCCGCTGTTGGTCGCGCAGGACTTCTACGTTCTTTCTCGCATGTAGGGCATGAAAACAAGGATGCGGCTCAATCTTTTCCAACATGTGACTTCCAAGCTTGACTTGAGAGGGGGTTCTCGAGCGAGTAGTGTCGTCCACCTGCAATTTGAAGCTCACAGGCCTCTTTCACAAAACCCAGATGATCTTGCGAAGTCATTCCTTCCGGTGAAAGCAGAGCAGGACGTAAGGACGATCTTGTTTTGGCCCTCCTGGGAGTTGATGTTTGCATGCCTGAGCATTGTTCTGACAGCAGCTTTATGGTACAACACAACACATGACGCCAGGCTGTTCCAATGGTATGAAGACTTGGCATTGTACAAACAAGGCGCTCTTGTTGCAGCAACTACAATGTTGATGGTCGTCATTGGTTTGCAGGCGAGGTTTTCACAGAATTCAGAATGTTTGACTTTGATGTTGGGAGCAATGATGGTGATGATGGTCATGATTGTGAAGCGGGTTGACGAAAAGGCAACAACAACTCTTCATGTCATGGGTCAGGAAAAGAGAAGAACTCGAGAGCTGATCGATGGTGGCGTGAGACAGCTATTCAATGAGACGAACATCCTGCTCACAGGCATGGACAACATGAAGGGAGCAATCAATGAAGACTTCAAGAAGATGTCACAGTTCATTGCCGATAGCAACAGGTTTACCTATCAGAAGATGGAGGACATCTCTGAAGAGCACAACCATCGGATCACCAAGGTCATTGACAGGTTGATTCGCATTGAGTACAAGCAAGAGAGACAAGAGGTTCGTGCTTTGGACCTTGAGAAGAGATTGAAACAGAAGAAACGACACAGAACTCCATCCATGAGCTCAAAAGCAAAGAGGCAGATTCTTCAGAAGCGGCAAGACAGAAGGGAAGCTCCAGGAACACGCACAGAATCGGAGGTGATGAGCATGCTGGAGACACCAGAGCCACCGGAACTTTTCCAAGGTGATGGTGATGGTCGCTTAGCACCCTATGAGGGAGATGAGATGATGGATGAAGAGAAAAGTGAAGAGCAGAAAGAGACAACGACAAACAAGCATGGTGGGATCACACAGGAACAATGGGACAAGTTCACTGTGAAGGAACGGAAATATTTTCTGTTGACGGTGACTTTTGAAGCTGCGTGTGTGTTCGGTGACAAAGAACAAATGGCAGCAATCGAACGACAGATGAAGATCCTAGGTGACGAGATCTACAACGATGCGCTGGCCGACCGATCAGTGGCTAGTAGTTCTCACCATGAGGTGCAAGAAGTGCCACATGAAACCTCACAGATTGTTGAGGAATGTGAAGACAAACCAGGTTCTTGAGGTTTCATGAGGGACACTTGCACCTGTAGCAACCAGGTACATGACGGTTCGAATCTTAGGCCTTGAGCCTTCACCCATCCGCGAGCGTGAAAACGGTCGCGAGAGGGCTCAACGTTCTTGACAGTATATAGCATTTCTATTCTTTTGTCTCCCAGGTCTGTCACTGGTGTGTCCTTGTCTATTGGTCATGAAGGCATTTCTATTCATTTGTCTCCCAGGTCCGTCACTGCTGGTGCCATGCAGCATTTCTATTCATTTGTCTTTCAGGTCTGTCACTGGTGGTGTCCGCCCTTGTCCGTTGGCCAGGAAGCATTTCTATTCATTTGTTTCCCAGGTCCGTTACTGCTGGTGTCCGCCCTTTTCTGCAGGCAATGCAGCATTTCTATTCATTTGTCTCCCAGGTCTGTCACTGCTGGTGTCTGCCCTTTTCCGTCGGCCATGCAGCATTTCTATTCATCAGTCTCCCAGGTCTGTCACTGTTGGTGTCCGCCCTTTTCCGCTGGCGACGGAACAGTTCTATTCATTTGTTTTCCAGGTCTGGTGTCCGCCCTTTTCTGCTGGCCACGCAGCATTTCTGTTCATTTGTTTCCCATGTGACTTCTTTCTTTTTGTCCTTCAGGTTTGGTGCCTGCACTGCTGTTTTCTGCCCTGTCCGCTGGAACAGGTTCACCTGTGAAAGGTTCTTGCTCCTTTGAAAGGGGCGGATGACCAAAGGGAACACCGTACACTCCTCCAAGCTCCCATTGGCCTCCGAGCAGAGCATAAATGGCGCACACCCTGGCTCATAACTGCCAAGACTTTCCCTTGGGTCCAACATGATGCCCAGGCTGTTTGCAATCGCCCATTTGGGAAACGCTGGAAAACCCGGAGAGTGCCCTGCCACATCAGCATTGAGCAGAAGCCTCCAAGCCGCCAATGCAGATCTGAAAAGGATCAACATGGCTGTGGTGCGTGACTGTCTCCGGGATTGCATTCCTGCCACACTGTGTAACTCTCTCAGCTTTGTTTTCCTTTTCGGGCAAGCGTTGGATGAATGACCGGATTGGATTTCGGCGGCGTGGCAGCGATCTCTCTGTTCAGTTGGGACGGAGGGCATACGTCAGGCACCAAAAATCAATTTCATGTCACATCCTTCGCTCCTCATGCTTTTATTTCTTGTCCTCGCGTGGTCAGCTCCCCGCTGATTGAGCAGCGTGACCAGCATCATGTTCGCACTTGAAGAACAATGCCCCAAAAGGTTTACTGTTAGGGCTTCTCAGTTCTTTCTTAAGATGTGTCCGCCCGCCCTGTACTGCTGTGTCCGTCTCTGCCTTGCAATCCTTTACATTTGTCTCCCAGCTCTGGGCTGCTGTGGCCGCCTCTGCCTTGCAATCCTTTGTCTCCCAGCTCTGGCCGTCGCAGGCTCTAGTTTCGATTTTTGAAAAACACAAACTGTTTGGGGTCTACGGTGGTGTAATGTCTCCCTTCTTGTTGGTCATTGTGTTCGTCTTGTCTCCCTTCTGTTTCCTTTTGTCTCCCTTCTTGTTGGTCATTGCGTCCGCCTTGTCTCTCTTTCTGTTTCCTCTTGTCTCCCTTGGGAATGGTTCGTTGTTGTCTAACCTGTTTGGGGTCTACGGTGGTGTAATTTATTTGGACGTAATACTCATTCAGTTAGACAGTGTGATGGACATATGAAAGGGTGGTCCCTCGAGAAGGCGGTGACCACATCTGGACATATATAGTTATATACATAATTATTGCTATATAATTACATATATAGTTATACAAATTATATATATACACACGTATGTATGCATAGAAAAATACATTGCTTTCGATTATTTGCTCTTCAGGCAAAGGCAGCCTGTAGCTCTCGATTACTTGAAGAAGACCAAGAAGACATGCATCTATTTATGTTCCCACTGTTGAAACCAACTTGGCTCATTCCCAGATCACACAATTCCACCATATTTGATAGCTTTGTGGAGGTGCTGGCATTCGCGTCGGGTTGCTCTTTTCGGGGGGCTTGGACTCCACCGTGTTGGCAGCTTTGGCAGCTGAGGCAGTTACACTTCAGCCAATTAAATACGAAAGATTACTTGAAACCTGAAACCTGCGCTTTCCTGTATGGTGCATGTCTTTGAAGCTTTCTAGTAACTAGACGGCTTTCTAGTATACAATTGTTCACGAAAGCTAGCTGTAGCTAGCTGGAGTCTGTATTGCTTTAGCAAGGAGGGTGGGAGCCCACGACCTGAGTGCTGATACCTGATATATCAGGACTATACCCCCCCCCGCGGGTTCAACTCCACCCTTCACCCCTGACCGTTTCTCAGTTCCCAACGTGCTGTTGCTGTTCTTTGCCCTGTTTCTATGTTTCTTTGTTGCTGCTCTTTGCTGAGCTGCTGCTGCTGCTGCTGCTGCTGCTTGGTTGTTGCTGCTGCTGCTGCTGCTGCTGCTGCTGCTTGGTTGTTGCTGCTGCTGCTGCTGCTGCTTGGTAGCTGCTGCTGCTGCTGCTGCTGCTGCTGCTGCTTGGTAGCTGATGCTGCTGTTGCTTGGTAGCTGCTGCTTGGTAGCTGGTGGTGCTGCTTGGTAGCTGCTGCTGCTGCTGTTGCTTGGTAGCTGCTGCTTGGTAGCTGGTGGTGCTGCTTGGTAGCTGCTGCTGCTGCTGCTGCTGCTGCTGCTTGGTAGCTGGTGGTGTTGCTTGGTAGCTGCTGCTGCTGCTGCTGGCTGCTGCTTAGTGGCTGCTGCTGCTGCTGCTGCTGCTGCTGCTGCTGCTTGGTAGCTGCTGTTGATGCTGCTGCTGCTCGGTAGCTGTTGCTGCTGCTGCTGCTGCTGCTGCTTGGTAGCTGCTGCTGCTTGGTAGCTGCTGCTGCTTGGTAGCTGCCGCCGCCGCTGCTGCTGCTGCTGCTGCTGTTGCTGGAGTGGTTGTGTGTTGCCATGTGTTGGCTCTGTTGGTGTCGTATTGGGGGGGCGCTGTTGGCACTCTCCTTTCCCTCGGCCATGGCATGTTGCGATTCCCGGCCAGCTTTTGCTGCCAAAAGAGCCCCAGCGTTGTTTCTTTGCCTAGCTTGCGCCACCCCCCTCTGGGCCACAAGTTCACATGGTGCATGTTGAATGTGAAACGCAAGCTCAGGGATTCTGCCTGACATTCCTCTCGGCCCCTCAGGCCTTGCCTCATGAGACCATCGAGTTGATCAATGTGGCTTTGCCTGTTCATCTATATGTAGTGTGGTGTTTAACTATTCATATGCATAACTAAGGCATGATGAGGCATATGATAAAAGATAGTTAAGGATAGTTAAGGAACTTTTCTTTTTCAGAGGTTGCCTTTGACAGCAGAGCCCCTGATCGCCTCACAGCGCTTTGCAGCTTTCAGGAACTTGGCTCAACTTGGCTGGAATATTTTATTTTGAAAGCATTCAACGCTGGTTTCGACTTGTTACGGCATATTTCCTTGCAACATAATTTGAAACACATCTGCACAACAGAATATCAATCAATTGCCTCGATAAGCTCAGGACCTGCTCCGGCAGTATGGCCCTGAGCGCTTCCGCTTGGTCATGAACTGAGTTGGCAGTGAAGTTGCTGACTTTGCCCTGTTTGCTAGAGAAAGAGCCACCTGAGGTCCTGTCAGACATTCGTCAGGAAGATTTGCTGGCAGAGGAGATATCTATTTGCCGATTGTTGGGTCCCAAGGCGAGATTGCGAACAACAAGCGGCGATATGAAGTGTCAGAAAGACAACAGTGTTCAACACAATCCTTTCACTGGGATGCACCATGATGCACGTGCACGTCCAGAAATGCCAGTTCATTAAACCTGAGATAGATTTTGCCACACAATCCAAAAACTTTCGTGCCTGATTCTTTCGGCCAGGCAACTCACTTGGATTTCAATATTGCAGCAGCCTTATGGTTCGCTGCCCGAGGCCTCTCCCTTTCTTCCCAGTTCTTCGGTCTACAAAATGGGGTGGAACACCACAGACAGCATGAGGCACCATAGACACAAGTGACACCCCAGTGACGCAAGATATCCAAGTCTTGGAGGGTCGGAACTAAGTTTCCGTAAACATCTTGGAATCAATCATGCGAAGCCTGAGCTTTTTTGCTTACATGCATCTAGTAGATGCTTGAGCTTGCTAGCCTCTGCACAGCCTACACCTTTTGGGCGTGGGCAAAGTCTTGTAATGTGGTAGGACGTGGCCTCCTTTGCTCGCCTGACTTTGTGTCCCAACCATGGTGGGCTCCAACTGCAGCATCATCACTGCAGCTGGAGCCGTCAAAGCCAGTGAAGCCTGCAGGACTCCAAAAGTCATGGGTGCCTGGTGCCTATCACATCTCATCAACATACTGCTCAATAAACATATCAAGACATATCCAAAAAAATAAAAGATACACACATCATAATATGTATATACTGAATCAAGTTCTTCACCTTAATTCAACAACATCACCCGATCGATGCATGTCAACATCTTCCGATGACAAATGAAGGACCAAGTCAGAATGAGAAGGTGAGCTGCGTGACCTGCGTGCTACCTGCCAAACCCGGCAACTTGGACATCCAAAACAACCCTCACACGCTTCGGAGGCTTTCAATTCTATTCAATTCTCCTTGATGGACAGTCCAGTAGATGGGCAGCATTTCTGGTCCAGGCTGCCCACATTTATCCTGCAAGCTTTGCTGCCGAAAGTTGCACAAGGTGAGATTTGATGGATTGGAATTCATGGACACATAGGGTGAACTGAACACATGTTGCATCATGTTGCATCATAGGCCTCAGGCGAACCAAAGGAGTGGTGCCCTGTGCACAAGATCAAGGCTCCAAGCACGAGACTGAGCATCCGAACATTCTATAATTATGATTACAAGAAACTAGTTCAACATCTCTGGAACTTGGGATGTGGCTTTGAGGTGCAGAGCAACCTGAAGCTGAGCCAGAAGCCGAGGTCAGCAAGTGCCTAGGTTCTTTGTAGACAATGCAGTGTTAAAACCGGCATTTGTTTTTTCCACTCAGACTTGACAAGTTGTGCAAGATTGTGTTTGCTTCATTCGATTGTCCTTGCACATTATGCTGCCAAAGGATACTGTACATGCTGGGTACTTGATCAAAAAAGGACTCTCAAGCTGACAGGGCATCGATTGCATGATTCGGACTGCAAGAGCACCGCCATTTCAATAAGACTTTGTCAAACTCTGCGAGATGAGGGTTACATTAAATCTGAAAAGACAAAGTTGATGAAGGCCTCCTCTCGTGAGTCTAGAGCCAACATTGTTTTCAGTGAAGCGGTCCACCCAATGCCTTTCCAACTTTCAAATCCAAAGCTGATTCTGCCAAACCCAAGCCTAAGCTGTCCCTGACCTCGTATGATCATTTGTTTGAACTTTGTCTCCTTCCATTTCGTGCCCATTGTGCAAGGAGCATTAAATTAAACCGGTTTTGGAAGGTAGGGCGGATTTGGAAACACCTTCAAGCCTTGACGGCATTCATATCCTCCATCGCTAGTAGGTCAGAGGCCATAGCAGGACAGAGGGGACAGTTAAAGTTCGCTGACATGTACCGTCCATGTAATCAGCTCTTCAAGAGTCAAGACCGCGGACTTGCAGACGACCCAGAACAAGCAAATCAATCCGGAGTGACTGCACCTCAATCAAGATTGTCGGCATTTGTACAAGAAGAAAAGACTTGATGGAGGCAACAAATTACGTTCTTAGATGTTCTTAGTAACATCGATCTTATTGAATCTTATTGTAAAAACCAACAAATGCTGCCTCATTGGAGCTCAACCACAGCCCCAACCTGAGACCGCAGCCTACCCTATTGCTCCAACCGCATCCTAGAAGCTCTTGCCCTCCCCACAACACTCGAGGATGTTCGCCCTTTATGATTTTCTTTGTTCACGGGCTATAGTCTTTTCTTGAACACTCGGAGATACTTTTTTGGCCATACCTGTTTTTTGAGTCGAGGAAGGTGTCGTGACCATGCTGTGAGGTGGTGTCCGTGAACAACATTTGCTTGTTAGGATTGTTTGTTGTGTATGATGTGTATGTGTTATTCTCATGGAGCCGCGGCGGTGTTCTGTCAAAGTCATTTGATTTACTGAATTTACTGCAATGCGTGCCTGCTTGGTCTATTCGAATCTGTCATCAAACCAAACGTCCTGCTACATTGTATGCTCGGTGTTGGCAAAGTTTCGTGTCTTTTGCTTTATTGGTCAACATTTGGTTTGGACGTTCTGAAAAGTCCACGGACTTGGCAGGTGTGCATCGAGCTGAGTGCTCAAAGATGTGCTCATCCTGAGGTACACAAAGTGATTTAAACAAACATAATCTGGAAGTACGTTGAATGTTTACGGTGCAAGTAAGTTGATGAATCATACACTGCAAACTTATATGGCAGTGCAGCTAAGTGAACGGATTCTGGCACATCCGGAATCAGGCTGAAGAGATTCGGGCATCCTGCCGAGTGTTACTGGTTGGTACAGGCAAGGTGGGTTCATTCGGTTCTTTTCATTTACAGTAATCTCAGCTGGAGAGATCCGACCCCCCGAGTGGCTAAGCTACTAGTAGCTTCTTGTTACTAGTAGATCTAGTAGTAATGGCTTCCACCTAGTAGCTTCTTGTTACTGGTAGCACACGAAGTGCCAGTCAACTCGAAATCACCTTGAAGGCTTACCTGCTTTGAGGTGCTGACGAACTACTGGGTGGATACAGCCGGCATCGCACAGCGCGCGCTAAGCGGGGTGCGGATGGTACACGCAGTGAGATGCTCAAGGCAGAACACGTTACTGTATATCATGTTCAATTTGTTCATACCAAATCAATATAGTAGATGAGTGTACGAATCCAGCGGTGTCGCAGGATCTTCAACGGCTTTGGACGAGAAATTTAGGCCGAGACGATCGCATCATCGCCGATCATGGCCGTGAAGCCAGGCTTGGAGAAGTGTGAGAAGTATGATGTGATGAGTTGTGATGCACCGTGAACTACCTTTGCTTGTGAGCTGCCTTCGTTGGATCGGCAGATTGACAGCTTGCGTCAGCTTGCGTCAGCTTAGCGTGCTAGGCACCCGTTCCTGGATGATCACTTACTTGAGTTTGTTGGTCGCTTGCCCATCGAGCTGGTGGCCTATGGCATCGGAGGCATGTTGCGTAAAGAGTCGCCTGAGTGAAGTCCCGAATGAACTGCATAGTGGCACACAATGGATCATTGAAGTACAAAAGTCTCCCAGCTGCTGAGCTGCAGAGCTTGACTGACACTGGAAGGAGAGTCAGATCCAGCTCCAGACAAGTGGCTCCTGCGCGAACTTGCCAGCCAGCGTGGTCTTGATGCTTGTGCGTGGCTCGTATTTTTGTTTAAGGAATCTTTTGGGCACAATGGTTCTCAAGTTATCAAACATTTTTTGCCGATGCAACTGATTCCACTGGTCTAGATAATGTTGGCAAACTTGTCGATCCAACTAAGGCAATTCAAGAAGCGTGCAATACAGTTTGGCACGCGCATCGCAAAGAAGTCCAATATTCAACATGCTGGCAGTCGGAGCCTTTGCAAACAGGTGACAACCAGGACTCAAACCCTTGTTGCCCAGGCAACCGGCAAGTCCGCGGAGACATGGCTTACTCTGCGCTCTCGGAAAAGCAGTACTCTGATCGTATGTGTACAACTTGCTTGCCATCCTTTTACTAGATGAGAAGGTCTTCGACAATTTCAAAAGGGCTGCTTTCTTAGGCCACAACAGTGGGCAGTGGAACGAGGGCCCGGCTGGCCACCTGGAGGAGAGCTTTGATGTGATATGTGTCGGGATGTGCCATGAAGTTCTCTCCCCTGTCTTTGTCTAAGTCAAAACTTGTATGTCACGAGTTTTGTGTTCTTAAATTCTACCGACATACAATGTCTTTCTGTTTCAATGTCTTTCTGTGTTTTGTGTGTTTCTCTTCTTGCGGTGCACCTCTGCACATCTGGTGCGCGCGGATCCTTTGGGCCAGGCCTCAGGGGCCCTCCGAATGCATGGCACGGCTTCCCGAGCCAACGAGGGGACCTTTTCGAACATTCACAGATCTTGTGGACTTTTTTGGTTTTGACACATGAAACCATAGACTCTCTAGAATCTTTTCTACTTACTCATCAAGTCAGACTTGGCTGAGGATGGGCAATGCACCGCCGCCTTGGCATGTGCCAGGCCCTCCACCAGGTAGCTATCCGCCAGGAGACCTGGAGCCTGAAAAGGTGTGTCAAGCCTTGCTCAATACATACTTTGATGCGTGTTATGCAAGTGTTCCGCTTGAATAGCCATTGCATGATTACCTCTATATAGACTCGATATACCTGGTGCTTAATGCCGTCAAAGTGTCGAATGCGCCCAGGCCACCAGAGGCCTGGAGGCCATATCCAGGGTTTGGCTCTGAGCCAAAAGACCACCAACTCACAAGTCGACTCTTCTTTTATCATTTTCCGCTGCTAACTACAACAAGTATATACAAGTATAGTGTTCGTACATATAATATACATCAATTACGCCAGCCAGCCGATAGGCTAGGCTTGACGAACGAAGTGAGTTAAGGGGGTGTGGGGGGTGAACCCGGAGCTTGGTGGGGAGAGCGCTCCAAAGCGAGGGTCAGAAACGCAGTGAAAATGGGGTCTGGTGATGCGAGTGACGCAATGGACGCCGAGTAGTGCATCATTAGCATCATGAAGGGGTCTTGAGACAATTTGTCTAGTCCTGAGCAGGGCATAGGGACTGTGTAGCTCTGATCATACCAAGAAGGCCCAAGCAACAAAGAGTGAACGCTCTGGGAGCAACGATGTGAGTATGTCCAGTTGGGCGAGGTAGAGGCTTGGGGATAAGAGCGCCGCAAGAGGGGAAGCAAGAAAGCTGCAAGCGTTCAACACTTCATGCTGTGCTCCGATCTTGATCTCAGTCGCAGTGATACCAGCTCCACGAAACTACAAGCTTTCAACTATAGGTGCTCTGCTATTTTTCCTCCCAGCCCTGCTCTCTATAGGGCTTCGCATTGATGCGCGATACCTGAAACACATTTCAACACAACCACAAAAACCATTTCGGGCATCATTCTCCTGGTGTTCACTGACGTTTATTTTTGCACGGATTCTCAAATAGAACACCAACAAGGGACGCTCCAGAAGGCGCCGCACCAAGCAAATCAAGCATACTAAAAACATTCAACACTTCATGCTGTGCTCCCATCTTCATCTACGTCGCAGTGATACCAGCTCCACGAAAACTACAACCATTCAAGAATGAATGCTCTCCTCTTTTTTCTCCCAGCCATGCTTTTTATAGGGCAGCGCATTGATGCACGATGCCCGAAACACCAAAAACCACCTTTCAAGCATCCTTCTCCTGGCTTTCACTGACGTTTATTTTTACACGGATTCTCAAAAATACCACCAACCAGGGACGCTCCAGAGAGCGCCGCGCCGGGAAAGTCGAGAAAACTTAAAACATTCAACACTTCATGCTGTACTCCAGGTTGATACAAGCTCCACGAAAGCTACAGACATTCAACAATAAGTGCTCCGCTATTTTTTCCTCCAAGTCTTGCACTACCATATTGGTCTTTCGCTGGCTTTCGTCCTGTCCTTTCTCAGGTATATATATATATATAGAACCTATAGTACTATACATTACATTGCTTTATTTAAATTTTTGGCCTTACGAGACTAGATGCTGCCTGTCTTACAGGTTGCCTTTCTTCCCAAAACAACCTTTATCTCTGCTTGAGGCCACCACCCTCACAGCCGCCTCCACGAAGAGGTGCTTTCTGGAGGTTTCTGGTACTTTTACTCCACGGGACGTTCCACAGTTCCGCTGTTTGTTCATAAGGCAAACGGAGGTTTCGTTTGACACTTCCAAATGGAGGTCGTTTAGAGCGGAATGATGGCGGAGGCGTTAGCATCGTCGTGATGCAGGCAGGGTTCCAAGGCCACTTGCTCAGGTTGTTTGGCTTTCCTTTTCCAGGTGCCTCCAAGCCTCAACAAAATGGACGTACTCAATGAGTACTTTGGCAGGTTCGGGCCAGCGCCTTGAAAGATGCTGCAGTGACCGACTGAAATGGAAAGTCTCTGGAAATGTGCAGTTCGGCTCAACTCAACCAGTTCGGCTGCCTTCAAGTCTTGCCCTTTTGCACCCAAGGCCTGTCTCCTCTTTGCAAATCAATCAGATGCGCCATGAGGCTCTGAGCTCACAAGTTGCAAATTGAGTACCTTGTGCATCATGGATCATGGATCATGGATGTTGCAGGCCATAGTCACCTTCAGTCGCATGGAGGATGCAGAGGAGGTTGAACATATTCGTCAAGTGAACAAACTTTTTGACATCTTGAACTAAGGAGTCAGTAGTGAACTTTTTGAGATCTTTTGTGCCTTGCCCTTGCCTTTGTTTCGCAGTGCTAAGCCAGGCTTTGCGCTTTCCAGTGCTGAATGATCCCTCCATAGGTGGGCGGAGGGCAATGATGTCTACTGTAAGCCACTCTTCAATGATCTCAAAGGGCTTTAGGTTACTTAGCAAGGAATGATTGGGGAGAATAGTCCTGTGTGTTCCGCGCATGTGGGAGAGTGGCGGGTTTTTCGATGACCTTGCATGGTCGGTGCGAGAGGCTTGAGACCATGGCGTCCGAAGGCCTGTGAAGAGGGGAGCGGTGCACAGCCAGAAATTACAGCTACAGCTACTATTGCACAACGAAAGTGCGGAACGGGACACTGTGGAGGCCATCGCTACTAGCAAGGAGCTACTGAGGTGGAGGCCATCGCTACTAGGGTGGAGGGCATCGCTACTAGGGTGGAGGGCATCGCCACTAGGGTGGAGGCCATCGGTATTGGGGTGAAGGCCAGTGTCACTATAGGCTGGAGGCCATCGCTACTAGGTAGAGGCCATCGCTACTAGAGTGAAGGCCATCGCTACTAGGGTGGAGGCCATCGCTACTAGGGTG